CAGCAGAACAACGACGACTAGAAACAAAACACAAGACTCAACTGAACTGACTACCTTATGGCATTAAAACAAATATAACAAATAATAAGCGACTGAATGATTTAAAATGTGTAATACTTAGCTGGATCCTTGCAAACTGTATCAAGGACAGAGATGAAACATGATGCCGTGACCTGACTAGAGAACCAGGTACCTTTTTTTTATCAGTATTTACCTCGGCTGGTATCGTGGAAGTGCACTGTAGTCTTCAGCATAACAACAGTGTCATCTGACAATATTTCAATCTACGAACAGAGAATGCCTGAAGAAAGGGTGGAAGGAAACGTGCAAAAATTGGAGAAGACAATGTTGGAGGAAGATCATACAGAAGATGTCTTGAAAGAGGAGAAGAAGACAGAGAAAGGACTGAATGCTATAGGGATCTAGGATGGAAGAAAAAAATTGCGGGGGCATTAGGGTTGAGAAGGAATGGGGGTGGGGGGATGAATTGATTATTGGAACGATCCTTACAGTGGTAAGGCTGGCTTGTGCACCACAAAATGCTAAAGGCTGACCAAGGGCAGGGCAGACGTCTGAGCCTTGAAAGTGGCTAGGGACAGGATCAAGAGTTTGCTGACCGAGCCTGGGTTTGCTGTTGATTCGTTAAGGAGAGGGTGAGAGCTTTTATGTTTTTGGTTTAATTCTATCCGATAGAAGAGCTTTTAGAACAGCAATGGCTGACAATGTGTTAGGCTGAAAAGATAATTTCCTCATACTCGGCATTGCGAAGTCGACAATGAGTACTGCTACTTTTCGCAGTTCTTAATGTATGCATGGTTGCTGACAGACTGTATCTGCAAGTTTATGAAGATCCAAAATGGTAAAATCCAACTAGAATGGGTTGACAATTGAAGGAAGTCCCACCTCGAGGAATTATCTTGCCTGAACACACCATGACACGCTTTGTTGAAAGGAAAGGAAAGAGCCGATGGCCTGGCCGTGTATGCAGTGGTTGGTGGAGGAAGAAGTATGGACAGGACATACATGCTGAATGCGTTACGTTCCAGATATACTGAGTCAGATAAGTCAGAGAGGATGTACTGCCTGATGGGAATGAGTATACAATCGGGATAAGCACGCGGAAACAGTGGGCGGGGTAAAGAAACGAGGTATGACTGTTAAACGCTTACTGGACACGGTGAGCACAGAGACACTGAAATAGCTGCTGACTGGGGGGACAGACCACGAATTGGTCGAACTGGTGTGATAACATGTTCTACACGGACAACAAGTAACAAGTAATTAATGTATTGTTTGATGACTCCGATACTTAACCCTCGGAGGAAGATAAGATGGTAATACAATCAGACTGCCCGGGAATTTTAACCTGGTCAACAAATGTAAAGTCGAATCTGTTGGTAGAAAATGGCAGATATCGCAGCCATGCTGTAAACGGTCACAGCGCAATCACGTCTTTAGACGAACGCAGAAGAGGAAGAAGACAGACTGCTACTGGGCACTACCGGTATTTGAAATCTGCGCTGAATAAAAGTAGTGTGTACTTTCACAACTACTAACTTGATAGTCCCAGACAAATGACACTTTCAGCTCTACAGCCACGTATGTGGGACGTCGCCAGTTTCACGGCCAATCAAATCTAAGCTTCTTCTGAGTCGATGTAAGTATAATTTTCTTGTTAAACGTGTAATGTTGTTTTGTGCGTGGTTATATCCAGTTGCTGCTATCTTTATATGTAGCCTTAGGTTGTTTTTTTTTTTTTTTCGTGTTAGCTTCGGAAATTTGATTTCATAAACGAATAATGTTAACAACACGTACAAATGAAGGGATGCGGGTGTCTTCAAAGAAATTAACTCAGCAAGGGAACTAATTACCCGCATCCGCATAAAACAATCTACATTCTTTGGTGGGAGCCGCCGTAGCTAGACGCCGCCTGCGGATCAGAAGGTCGTGGGTTCGCTCCCTAGCAAAGCCGGGCTTTTAAAAAGATGACATTGGCTCCCATGTCGACCCTGCATTGAGTGGATACCAGGTGCAGTCCTGGGAAGTAAAGGCAGTCGGTCTGATACTGACTACATCACGCATCTTGTGGCGTTGGTCTATACAATATAGTTATAGCTCTGTATTACAAAAACGACTGAGAGACGTCGAAAAGGGTCTTTTATTTTACTTTACCTTTTTACATTCTTTGGTGAAACGTCCCGAAGACAGACCAAATAAAGTACCTCTTAGCGTCACGATAGCGGGAAAGTCGGAAGAAAAGAGAGATAGAGTGCGACGAACAGAGAAAGGACTGCAAAGAAGAAAGGATAGCCAGGTGCTTTGTCCATCTGAGGTCTAAACAAATTTGACTCTAGCATTCTTTTTTTCGGTACGCCATTGGTTTAGACAGGTTTAGACGACAGGTCAACATCATGACACAAGAGTAGTAATCTATAAATGCTCCGTTCTATTTTTGACTCAAGCCTGAGCCAGAAGAATCTCAGCGCAATGCACGAACTCT